CTTTAACCACGCCAGTCGCCTCTCAATCAAGCCTTTCTACCATGTTTTTGCCCACTCTGCTCCTTTCTCTTAGACTAACCCCTGTCCTCATTCAAAACCTATTCAACCCGCCAAGCCCAGCCTAAGTCTTGCCACTTGGAACCTAATCTTTGCTTGATAAACTCATTGAGTACCAGGACTGTCTTACACTTTTTGGGGCGTCTTTCTACAAAATTACTATAATGCCAGGCACTTGGTAGTTAATTGACACATAAGTTTAAAGTTCTCTAAATTCCATACTAATCCTAACAAACGCCTTTTGCTAATACCTCTTTTTACTCTTTTGAGATATTCGGTCACTTGGCCATTCCTCCCCTCTATCCCCTACCGTGCTGTAACTCAGCGTTCCCTACACGCTCCTTGCACTCACTTGCCACAGGACCGCACAGGGGCACTTAGAGAGCCGCTCAAAGCCATCAGGGTGATCGGCTGATAAGCTGGATAAGGAAATACAGTGGGAGCAAGTTCTGTTTTTTTTCTGGCTTTCTAATTCATCAAAGTCAAGTTCTCAGTCTAAATGTTTCATAAGGACTTTCCAGAAGATTTCATTGTTTTGTTTTGTTCTTATCACACTTGAGTGCTTAATAAACATCTTTTCCCCTGCGCTCTGACACCACGCCAGGGCTGTGCTGCCTCTCCTCCCACCCACCAGCTCAAGCAGCACCAGGTCATGTTTTTGTGAAAAAGGATGACTTTAAAGTCCACTGGGGCCACTTAGAAGCTTATAAATACAACATTGGTTGGGCTTTTTCTAAGTGTTTGATGGATGAATGAACAAAACACAAAGGAAATGTCAGAGCAAAATACAAAGAACATAAGGGGCAGAAGAGTTGTTTTCCTATTTACAGGAAACTGCTTAACACAGACGCTGCTGCGGTGGAGCGATGCTGTGTTAGCAGGGGGACAATCTAGATAGTTTACTGAATGTGGGGCTTCAATATCACGCGCTTAATATTAACCCGAAACTAGATTATAATCCAGGAGTTTTGTTCAAGATCAATTTATCTCTGAAAAGGATGAAGGCACTTGTTTAGGCTACCACAGAGTAACAGAGACAATTCCTCACAGTACCTAGAATATTTCTACTTTAATTCTCACTGATGCTCATGAAAAAAAACCCTCTTTATCTATAATGTAATCTTGTAAGTGGACTTGCTGACCAAAACAGACCGTCCTAGAGAGATGAACCATTCTAAATTCTGAAGCCAGGCAGAGGTCTCAGTATAATGTGATTAAATGGAATTTCTGTTTGTTAGCCAGTATCCTGAGAGTTCAGTCAGCCTCAGCTGGCCCCTCAGAGGCGAGTCCACTCCGAGCGAAGTGCAGGGGTTCAGTTCGGGGTGGCCACGCTGAAGATGGGCTGTGACGGCTCCATCAGAGCACTGCCACCCCCAAGGGTCTGCTTCAGGGGCCTCTCCCTTGGACGTCTTTAGAAAAACTGTAACATAAGTGAACCTAGACATCACCTAAACTTAGTTCTTTTATTTGACAGAACAGGAGATTGAGTGCTGGGATCTGAATGACAGTACTGAATAACCAGAAGCAACAGAGGCATTAGGAAAAGGTTTCAGAGTCTTGACTTTGGATGGTGAACACAGAATATAATAAAATGATGTACTGGAGAACTGTACACTTGAGACCTATGTAATTTTATTAAGAAATGGACCCCAGTGAATACAATAAAAATTTTAAAAAATATATAGAAAAATAGAGAGAAATAAAAGTTTCTCTTCTACTATGCTGTTTGCTGTCATCAGGAAGGGCGGAGTCTAAGGACGAGTCCGGCTGTGGGGAGGCAGGTGTGTTCCGGTAACTGAGAGGGAGCCATGTGAGCCGAGTGTGTTACCAAAGGGGACCAGGACACGGGTGTTTACTGAGCACCTCCTATGTGCCAGCCACCATAAAAAGACTTTACTCATATGAACTCATTTAATCCTCCCAATAACCCTGTGAAGCTGCTAACAATTTGTAAATGAGGAAACAGCCTAGAAATTAAATTGCTGCAGCTACTAAGAAGCAGATCTGAAGCTCAAACCCTAGTTTACTTGACCTCTAAGTCCTTTAGTTTTCTTCCTACTAGATAGTTAGGTCCAATAAATTCCTCTCTTAATACCCAACTACAAATGTATTATAGTTGAAGAGGAACTACAATGGTATGTTTGCTCTCTCTTTTCTATCCTTTATGAGGCATGAAGCCATGTTTTAAGCTGAGTAGTGAAACCTGCCATAACATTTTGGCTAGGAATACATCAATGCATAATTCCTTAATGCCTGTGAGGACTAACAATATAGTTTTTTAAATTTAATTGTTGTTCAAATATAGTTTTCTGCCTTTGACTCCCACGTGTCCTTTATACTTGTAACAATATTCTTAATTAGAATTGCAGATTTCTAGTCTTATTAAAAAAAAAAAAAAAAAAAAGAAAGCCAGCCTTGCCCTAAATGGTGTGGTTCAGTGGACTGAGCACCAGACTGTGAAGCAAAGGGTCACTGGTTCGCTTCCCTGCCAGGGCACATGCCTGGGTTGCAGGCCAGGTCCCCAGTTGGGGCGTGTGGAAGAGGCAACCACACACTGATGCTTCTCTCCCTCTTTCTCCCTCCCTTCCCCTTTCTCTAAAAATAAATAAATAAAACCTTAAAAAAAAAAAAAGAATGTTAAGAAAAAAAGCCAGTCTTAAAAAAAATACTAGAGGTAGGGTTAGTTTCTTAAGTGAAATATTTTGCTTTGCATTTTTCCATTAAAAAACCTAAACTCTGAAGTGGGTATGGAAAAGTCAAAAATTCAAAAATTACATTGTAAAGGAGTCTCCTTTTCCTACCCTTCAAAATCTTTTTTTTTTTTTTTCCCCCAAGAAGAGTAAACTGCAATGTCAAAATGAGAAAGAAGGATGGTTAACTTCTAAATAAATCTCAGGAGAAGTGTCAACTGAGGCAGGGAGTCAGACAGCTGCCAAAAGAGCAAGAGTAATAGTTTTTTTTGGTATCCAAACTAATACTAAATCAAATGCTAATTCAAACTGTGATTTAAGGGAAATGACTTAAGGGAATTTGTCAAGCTCTTTTGACCAATGAGTTGGTAAGATTTTAATTTATTGTTTTCTTTAGTGATGGTATATTGTTAGTAACTTAAGCTACTAAGATGCATTAATTCTTGGCACTTAATCAAGAGATCTCCTGCATACAGTTTAGTAGAAGTCAAAAACTGGGGGCTCAAACCTCAAAACCAACTCATCGAGGTCTTTTCACCTGGACCATATTTTATTTTAATGCGTGAGCCAACATTTTAAAAAGATTTTTAAAAATGACACTTGAAACATCCAAATTTTGAGCTTCTCTTAAAAAAATAAAAAGGAAGATTTGGCGGTGACAGGCCCACACTGCCACGCGGCCACACCCGCTGAGGCTGCATGTCAGCTGCTGCTGGAGAGAGGTGAGGTCGGGGGCCCACACTTCCCGGATCCCCACCTCACTCCTCTACTTACCTTCCCCATTCCTGGAGGCATCTGCGTTTATGATGCCTGCCACCTACCCTACGTTAGAGGAACCAGATACGGAGAGTGCAGGAATTAAAGGAAAAAACAGATGAAGAGAAGACAGAGCCCACATCACTTGGGAAAATGTCAATGTTCCGCGGAGCAAAAAGCAGTGATTCTTAATATCGTCTGCCATAGTACTCTGGGCACTACACATCAACTGGCCGGTGACAGACAAATTTTAAAGTGACAAATATTTTAGCACATATGTTGTCCACAGGAAGCACTTTTAGTATTCTGGCTCAAGGTTAAATTCTAGGTGAATATTTCAAAAGAACTCTTTTGTCTGATGTCAAGTACAAAATCGCTCTTTAAACTCTTCCACCACTTCTAATACGTATGCTGAGTTTATTGGGAAAAAAAAGACACAGCTTTCTTGGTTTGTCTTTTTAACACCTCAGCACATTCTGTGTAATAACTAGATTCTTTGTCTATCAATAAGTATTCATGCTCAAAAGCCAAAACAAGTTACGTGACCAGGATCAGAAGTATAGTCAGGATGTATGAGACAATGACATACGGTCTTCTCCAATAGTACAAGCTATTCTTGCTCCTTTACCAAGTTAATTTTCAAGTCTCTACGTTTTGCCCACCAGGTGGCGACATAACAAAATCAAGATTTTTTTCAGCTAGCACCTTTTTGAAAAAGGAGATTTCCAAAGATTCTTAGGAAATAGCTTTCAGGCCCCCTCCCTAGCCTTCTCCTCCTGCAAGTTCAATTCACCCCTGCCCCCCATACACAATGGCACTTCTTTTGTGAGCCGGTTATCTTGCATTTTATAAAGAATGGGAGGCAAAGGAAAACTGCCAAGGACTCTGTCCAAGGTCACAGAAGAAAAGGCAAAATAAGGACTTGGAACTTCCTAAGACTTGGCCCAGGGTTTGGGAGTCAGGAAACAGTGACCTTTGAACGTCATTTCTGGTGTGCCAAAATTATTTGTGGCAGAATATTATACAGGGTGTAAATTTAAAAGGAGGAAGTAAGGGAAGCCAAAGCATACATGTTCCACGGGGAAAGAAAACAAGGTCCTGAGGTTTCTAAGCAGGGGGATGTAGAGAAGTGGGTCTGATGTGGCCCAGGAAGCACATGGGAAAGAGAAGGAAAAGGGGAAGAAGGCAGAGCAATGGCGCGGGGACACGGAGCTGAGAATGCTGCCAAACGAGGAGGGGAGCGGACCCTGGACTAAGCAGGTGGGTGGGCAGATCGAGGAAACCATTTAAAGACGCAGACGCGTGTGTCCAGAAACTGTTTCCTAACGTGAAGCCAGAGAGACACCAACTGGGGATAGACTCAAACGTAACCTTTTCAGAAGTAGGGAAAAGAGCATCTTTAGCTCTAAGGGTATATGTACACATAAAACAGAAAACAAATGAGGCTGTTTGGTAAAGCTGAAGGCTCTACTGAAGGACAGACAGGCCCTTGCTCACCGCTGAATATCCTTGTTCTTCCACAGGGAGGCAGACTGCGCTTTGGGCACTCTTTCAATGAAGTTCACCAGCTCTTCCATGAGAAGCCTGGGTTTAAAGAAACAAAAAAACAGTGATGAACACTCACACCGCATTCTAACACTGTAGCCAAGAGCCATGGGCTTGTCTGTCTCCCCTCCCCAGTCTTGGGTTGTGTCTTGGTTGCACACATAACTGTGGGCACTACTTTACATTAAGGTGGACACAAACATCCCACTGAATTTCCATGTTAAAAATTCAGGACATAAAACAGGCTGCTATCTTCCTGCCTCTAAACACTAAAACACACAGGCCTATGGTTTACTTCTCACTCTAAGATCTCTGCCTTTACGTAACTAAAAACACAAAAGGAGAAAAAGTTAACTGATTGTGAAGTACCTGATGTTGGTGGCAGCAGACAGTGGGGGTAGATACTTAAAAATGATAATATTAAATGAACAATTTAAACTGGTACATTTTTCTTGAAGTATATTTTAGGGCTTAACAAAATTCTGCATGAAAGAGCACTCTAAAGACTAACCCTAAAAACCTAACTCCGGGACCTGCAAAAGGGCAGGCTACGCAGATCACAAGAAGGGCTACCACAGAATCAGAACTGAGGGAATTCAAGAAATGCCTCACTCCATGGGGTACTGATCTGCATGTTGAGGGATCAACGATCCGGAGAACTCTCAGAACGCTGGATAACTAGGGGATGACCAAAAAGCTAGAAACAGATTTTTAACATCTGGAAACCCCTTTCATAATCCAGTAGAGATGATCGATATTGACTTCAGTCCTCTCCCAATCCACATATAGCTGTGGCAAGCCATCAATTTATTGGCATTTGAATGCTGAACAACTTCACTTCCATTTATTGGTTTATTCCTAATACCATCCCCTGCTTTCATCTCGGAGGAGCAGGCGGAGTTCCTGCATTCTGAGATACGGGATCCAGGCTCATTACCATTCTGGCTACAGCTCTCAGGAGAACTGTGGCTGTGTCCCTCCTCATGCTCACTGTCAGGCCAGAGTCCAATGTTTTCAGCGTATCCCTCCCTGAAACTGATTCATCACCTTTAATGCCTGTAACGCTCCTTCCTCAGCTCCCTCACGCTTTTCTGTAGGTAACGTGATCTGACACAAAAACCAGGACATGCTGTTTTATTTGTGGCAATTCCACCTTGTTGGACTTCTGTAAGACCCTAGAACCCGTATCTTGGTCTTGACAGTTGCACTTTATACCACACTTGTTAGTTTGCTTCAGCACAATTCCCTTTCCTGGGTGAGTGCCTGCACATGATTTCCTTCTCACTAAGTGATGCTACCAGTACTTGCAGCAACCGCGAAGGCTTGGGAGGGGCAGAGTGTTCTGAGTCAAAGGCAGGCCTGAGTTTTTTGTTTTACTCCTTAGAGTTCTGAGTTTCACTCTAATATCAGAATGGGCAACTTACCAATCTAATTATTTATATTTATCCTGTTATCTACAAGCTGTCTCCACTTACAGTCTGCACTAATCCATAAAAGGGGGGACATTTTGAAAGCAGTTACACAAGTTCCTTTTTTCTTGAATCTGCTATGTTCCTTTCTCCTGAAGCTCTCTGCAGTACATGTCCGTGGCATTTCATTAAACATTACCTCCCCTAATTAGTATCATCTGCACAGAGGAGCTGTCTAGGGGAACTCCTTCCAGTTTCAGTACAAAAAAAAAAAAGACAATGAAGACCAGACTACTGGCGGCATCAGTCTCCAGGAGGTTCCAGTGAACATCTGTTTTATGTAGAGAACCGTCTATTCACGCCTGTTCTCTGGGTCAGCTGCTCAGAAGGAAATAATCGTTGCCAGCACAACACTCTATTAACTAGTCACCGGAGAGGGAGGGTGGTCTCCGGCCACACGCCAGTGGGAGAAGAATCGTCTCACCTGCCGATCTGAATGGTGGGCTCTGTGGCATACACCGTGCCCGTGAAACCGGTGTGCTCGGTGATGTAGGGCAGGGCCATCATGCAGTGGTAGTTAGAGATGAGGATCACATCTACCGTAGACAGATCTATTAGCTCGGTCTGGAAAGAAAGGAGAGGGAATGATATATCTCCCTTCGGAGCACATAGATCAACATGATGGGACTAAATGATGACGCTGTCAGAATGCAGAGTAGTTTTTGTGGCACAAAGTAATGATGGTGTTCCCGCAACACTTCTACTCTCATTTGAGGACGCTTCCTAACATTAACATTAAGTAACAGGACAAGATGGCTCACAATGAGCATGCAACCAGTCCACCAGCAGTGCCCCGATTTTGCTAAATCACAGTTCTGGGTTAGACATGTAAGGATAAATGACAGCACTTCAGCCACTGCTGCCTGGCAAGTGAAACCAGGTGACGTGAAGCAGACAGAGCACAGTGTAAGCTGTGGGGGAGCTAGACCGTGACGCGCCGCTGCCACGGACGACAGGAGCAGAGGGAGCGGCGCACAGGAACCCAGCCTTCCAAAGTCAACTGGGGGAACCAGCTTCTATTTTCATTTTTTTTTAGAGGTAACATTTAACCACTAGTGCTAGCTACAGAGACCTCCCCACCCCCACAAAAGAAAAGAAAGTAGTGACAGAGTCACGAAAGGAAATTACACTTTTTATTCCACCTGCGTCTTAACCCCAGCTCTACCCTCCCCCCAGCAAGGTCACGTGAAAACGGAAAAGAGAGGTTGGCAGGTGAGGGGACAATGCTACTGTGTTTAGTAAATATGATGAAAATGCTCTTACGAGGCAAAGATTTTCCTGTAAACTGAAGTCTCCTACCTCTTTCAGAGCTCAGTACTCTTCCTGCACTAAGCTTTCCTGACGTGCCAGATGGAAGAAACCACTTCGTCCTCAGGGCACCAAGGCACTTCATGACATCCCTCTGACAGCAGTCCCCACTCTGTGGGACGGCAACTCTGTGCCTCCAATATTACGTGTCTCCGAGGTGAAGACCCCTGGGGACTTACTGCTGCCCCTCCCCGCCGCGGGAGCCAGTAGGCAGCAGGCCTCGGGCACTGTTGTTGGAGGAAGTGTGCTTGTCAGCAGCACCTTCTGTGAGATGCTGTGCTTCGGAGACCTCACCCCAGCCCCCGAGTGCCAGGCCACGTGGAAGTTACCCCCGGGAAACTGCACGGTGTACCTGGGACAGCACACGGCCCGTCGAGCTAGTATGTCCCTCCCAGAGAAGCGGCAAGGTGTCTGTGCCATCTTTGCAAATGATAGCGGCGATGTACCATTTTGCTGTGGGTATTTTTTGGTTGAATGGCTTTACATAGGAAATAAGTTCATTTAATAAAGTTGCCAAGGCACAATCGGCTCCTGAGAACAGCGTGTATGAATACATTTGAGGTCAAAAGCTACTCACTGCCCAGAGCAATGGCGATCTGTGTGACTACAATGCTCAAGGAGAACAATATTCAACTGACATCACCCCGAACCCCGTTATACCCTGTGCTTCCAAGACAAGATCCTCATCAGGAAAGGCCACGTGGCGTCCCACCGGTCCTGCCCCCACCTCTCAGGAGCCTTTTTAAACAGACAAGGAAGTGAAGGCAGGGCAGCAGAGTGACAGATCCGGAAGGAAGCAGGGACGGGCAGCTGCAGAAACGGCGAGACTCAAGAGCCTCCCCACCTTTCCCCTCATGAATAGGAACTGGGTAGAAATATTTGAATTTCTCTTTAATGTGAAAGAACCCACAAAGTCTAGAATGATGAGAAATTTGGTGAGGGTAGCTGGAACGAAAAAATATATACGTGTGTGTGTGTGTGTGTGTGTACAGTGTCTGTATACATATGAACAGTGTCTACACATTTTTTCCTGAGAAATAAATTTCATATCCAAGCCATGTTTATATACTCACATTTATGTATTTACTTAGACTTTCTACTCAGTGAAATCCAATAGAGACTATTTTCATTCCAAACTTCTAGTATACGGGCACTTAGGTTCCACAGACCAGGAGTTGGGTCAGAACTACCCTCACTTACTGGCTGCTTACTCTACTGTCCTGGGCCTTCTATGCAGTCTGTGCGTAGACACGAGGGGACAGATGTTTAAGGGGTTGTACGAGAGTGTAAGTGGTAAATTCCGTGCGGTCTGGGATCAGGTCCACCTGACTCGCCCGGACAGCAGTAAGCACCTCTCTCCTGATTCTCTGACTCTCCTATTTTCTCCTAATCGTACAACGCCTTGGTTCCACCTTAAAACAGTAACGACCGCTAACTTGTTATAAACCTCAAGTTATGACAGAAGTTGAAAAAAGATACAGCTGTAGAACAGCAATTTTCAAACTTTTCATCTCATGACACACATACACTAATTACTAAAATCCTGAGGCCCACCAAAAACATACTTCTTGCCAATCTGACTAGACGGTACTGTTGGATGGCTGTTGGCAGTTTTATATCTGAGGCTCTAGGGGAAAAGAGCTCAGCGCCCCCGACTAGTCGGGTACCGCACATGTTCTAAAAATTCTCTAGGCACCTGCAGCCACACACCGGCTGGAAACTGCTGCCCTCCAACCCTAAATATATCAATACTCCTTTAGCACACCCAGAGCTGAACTGTGAAATGGCAACTGTCCAATTCCAAAGTTTAGTACTCTGTGGAACAAGTCACAAAGTCATCAGAACACCAGTTCACACGTTTGGCACTGTTGCCCATGAACTGAAGGTTGCAGCAGTCAGCGCCATATGTAGAAAACTGAAAATGAATGTAGCCTCTGGGATTAGGAGTCTTCGAACAGATGGGGAACTGCCCCACCGATTCCTAAGTGACGAATGAAAATGACAAAAAGAGTAATTGCAGGTACGGGGAGCTCAGGATTCTTGGTAACTACCTTTACCCTTCCTTATTCTTAGTGCTTTACCTCCAAACTTCTCCCTTCTCAACTCCATGCCCTTCTTTGTTTTCCTTCCTTTCTTTCACTCTGGCACCCCAAAGGGTACACACACATACTTTAAAGGGAGAAAAATGTTCATCTACAGGCAAACAAAGTGTAGAAATGAAGAGAGAGAGGAAGAGAACAAAAAGTAGGGAAATGACACAGTACATTTCTTTTCTCTTTGGCACTGACCTGTGAAATACCTCCTACAGGCACCATAATCCATTGGGTGCATGGGAAAAACAGGATGGTAGCTTCTCATTGATTTCCTCAGGAACCTGGACTAGCTACTGGCTTCCCCACCCCTTCATCTGTCACTGAGAGTGCCACCTTGGGCATTTTGGGGATTAGGCCTGTCAGCTGAGATTAGCTTCCTTTAAAACTAATGGAAACTGAACTGTGTTTTCTGTAAAGGATAAGACTGGCCCTGGACTCTCACAGCAAGTCGCACTGTGGTAATAGTATGTACATGACAGATATCCATAACTCAGTTCAGAATCTGTGAGTGTCAAGCTATATTCGATATGATCTTTCAAGTCAACAGGGATTTTTACAGTTTATTGTACTGGCTGAATAACAGCAATTCCCAATTACCCACTCCAGGAAAAGTAGGGCTAATCTAAGTCACAGGCATTATAATCACAAAACTGAAAGGCCTGAGTTATTTCTTTACCTTGTTCAAAACCGTGCCCCAGCACACGTGTCAGTGAGGATTATGGAAAGAGCCAGACGCAGGAAGAAGAGAGTGACAAATGATCATCAGACAACGTAAGAACTCCTAAATGATATCTCTGCTGTATAACAAACTGACTGGATTGTGAACCAATGTCACCCCAATAAATTCAATTTAAAAAAAGCAAAGTGACTGGAATAACAGATTCATTTCAACTTGAAAATAGGCAGCTAAGCCCCTTAAAGTTATTTCTTGACTTCACTTTGAGAGATGACAAGATACGCTTTGTTTCGACAGTAGGATTCACTTTAATCTTACCTCTGGTAAGCAAAATTCAGGCACGGAATCCACAAATACGTGACCTGAGCACTCCTTGAGCTCCTAAAAGAAGTGAAAAGAAAAAAGTCGAGGAAGAAATATCCAATAAGCACAACAACAAAGAAATCTCACCCCCCAAACTAAACTTTCCATGAAGAATGACAGACTGCTAGAGTTGGAGGGAAGCTAGAAGGTTATTCAGGCCAACTGTTTCCGGGTTAGGGTCAGGGAGGTTAGGTGCCTTACTCAGGATAAAAAATGCTGGTAGGTGGCTGACTCAGGACCTGAATGCATATTTCTTGATGTCTCTTCGAGAAAGCCATGCATGAACACATGCAGCTTCCATAATTCATGATCCAATACTTCCTGAATCATAGTTATGCAGCCCATACCAGCACCATCAGAATATTATGGGAAGGCCAGTGGAAGTCAGGATTCCTGGGCCCTAGGACATACGGCGTCAGAAACTCGGGGGACGAGGTCATGGAACCTGTACTTTTAACAAGCATCTCCAGTGATTTGTTACACAATTAGGTTAGGGGTCCTGGCCCTAGAGCCTCTTTTTCCTCTGGCAAGGGGCAAGTCAGGAGGGAGATGAAGAGTAGAGAATGGATTAAACTACTCCCGCTCTCCATCATCTTCATGAACATATCTTGTCCTCGCAGAGCTTACAATTTATTTGGGACTATAAACCAAATGTAATAATTCAAAAGAAGAAAGTACAGTACAACTCCCCACTCTGCCATCACCGACCACATCTGATACGCCTGTCTTGGTTTGGATTCCCTCGCAAACAGACCCTGAGGAAAGGGCGAATGCAAAGTTATACGGAAGGTGCTGAAAAAGAGGAGGAGGTTGGGCAAGTGACAAAGGGAAAGGAAGATGGCTGATAAGGGATGAGCCACACACCACTGTGGGCAAGTGGGATTCTACCCATGGGGAAACTCGGGTGTATGAAACATACACCTTGGAGTTATCCTCCCGGGGAATGGGATCTGAGCTATTTCTACAGCAACCCCCATGTTTTAGAGAGGCGGGAAAGCTCTCCCACAAACCGCACAGGTGCTGGCAGCTCGGACCACGGCACAGCACACTGAAGAGACATGAGTGGGCCACCAAGGGGCTGCTACATTGCCTCCAGGAGGCCACTAGAGGCGCTGTCTCCCCTCACTGACCCTTGAAACTGAAACCTATGGAGAATTTTTTGTTCCATCAAGGTGAAAGCTATCTATGACTTTATAAAAATGTATAGTCTGGTTGACAGTTTGCTCTTTCCAGAAAGATAACACCACTATTAGAATTTTGTTTTTTATTATATCATTAGTCACTGAAAATATATTTCTTTTTTTTTTTTTGGGGTTTTTTCCCTGCTGGGGGGCCTCCCGTTTTGTCCCTGGTGGATAAACCTGTCGGTTCTGCCCTCTAAGCGGCTTTTTATATATTTATATATGTGTAACTATACTTATATTTGCATTCGAGTGATTTTACTCTCAATCTTTGTCTAAATTTGCCTTTTGAATTTTACGAGTCTCATATCGGAACCTTGTCAGAACATTTCCTCCCCTTGCTTTTCACTGTAAACTCTGACTCCTCTCCTTACAGGAATACCATTTAACCAGTGCAAAGTTGAGCCAAGAAGAGATTCCTAACAGCTCTTAATTACAAGATATCTGCCAGTTAAAAACAAATAAGCAATTATGTTTAATGCGAAAAGACTCCCAACTCCCTTAGGATGAGGTTAGAAATGATTGCAGACAAATCATGGGAAATTTCAAAGCTCTGCCTGGTCTTAAATCGGCTACGTGATCTTCTTCCCCAGAAGGCCACGCAGCGGGGCAATGCCTTCTTCACGTGACAAAGCCTCCGCTGAGGCTCTCCTCCTCCTGGCTGGAGAGGCACATTTGCCATTCTGGGCACTTACTGTGCCACTGTGTTTTATTATTCACACTCCCTTCTAATGAAATGCGCTCGCATACACATGCAAGTCATTTTGCTCACAATGCACTGGTGATGGGATGCTTCTGGACCGTTCTCAGGGAACAATGATTTACAGCCAGTGGAAGAGTAAGGCTCAAATCAGGCACGGAGGTTCCTGAATGTCACAGAATTTTACGGATTAACTAAGGGAAATCTCATTTCAAATTATGCACTTGGCTTGCATTTGAGGTTGGGGTGCAGTTCGCAGGAATTAATTCTGTGAAAAAAAAAAACACCTTTATTTAACAACATCTGTTATAAGAAGGAAGTGCCTTATTCAGATGGATCATTTTAAGGATCTTTAAATTTATTCACCCTTTTAGTTGTGAGATGTGGGAAACAAAAATGGTTTAGAAGACTAAGAATGGAATGGATAAGCTTTGGAGTTTTTAACCTTTTACCTCTGTGTTTTTTTTTTTTTTTTTTAGTATAAAACTTGACTGGAGTATAGTTTTAACCTTTTTTGTACCTTGGTCTCTCATTTGTAAGTTAACTGCCTAAATAATGATCTGAGGAAGAAGTTACTGTGAAGATAATCTAATGTCAAGAACTTAATAGCCTAGAAAGTAATTTAAGTCACTCACTTTAAGCCTTATTAGTCAGTGATTAAAGTCAACAGGATGCCACATCTTAGATTCCTAGAACTACTTTCTTTTTTCCCCATCACCTGTGAGGCTGTCCATTCTAGGCTGCCAGGGAAGGCTGGAACAAGATCACAGGCCATGGCCTGGAAGGGCCTCGATGCGAGTTTACCGAAGAACATGTTTCCACCCCACACGCTAAGAACGCGCTGCCTTGGCGGTGGCACACCCAGCTCCTCAGTCTAGTCCTCACACAGCAGCCAAAGTGATGCCACCAGATGGTGACCCTGCTCTGCTGCCACCTTCTGGGGCCTCCCATCCCCCCAAGGACCCAAACTTTACAGTGCCCCACTCAATCTGACCCCCGACAGAATCGGTTCAAAACTCCCATATTCGAGGATTTCTAAGTTATTTGAAGGAAAAAAAAAAGTTTATTCCTTCCCATCATACAGTTGGTGGAATTCTCTAGTAAGTGTCGCCTCTGAAAATCTCACTGCATTATAGAAATGATAGTTTTCTTTTGTGGTGGCAAAATGTTACTTGCAGCTGCAGCTGTTACATTTTTTCACATGAGAAACTGGACCTGATTCCCTAAAAGGCTCTTAAAAACAGTAATTACCAAGTACTAGAGACCCTAAATGGAACTCGGGATATTTCAGGGAGAATACATGGGGGGAAATGAGCCCATCAATCACAATGCTGTTGGGTTCCTGGATGACAAGAGGGTTTCCACAGGTTGTAGACACACTTCAGTTAATCATTACCTTGTCCAAGAAAACATTTCCATCCTTCAGGGACCAGCCTGGAAGATTAGACAGCCTGGCACTGCAAAAGAAAAGATTAAATTATCCTAAATAGATTATAATCCTTAGAGATTTCAAGGTGACTGTGCTGTCTCCATAGAGTTCAAAGCAGCTTGAAATCACTGGCAGCAATACTCACCCAAAATACTAATCAAAAAGAGAAAAATGAACCCTGTCATATCACGCTTAAGAATTATGTGGCAACGCATCATTAAAGAGCCAAACAGTTTAGCACTATATTGGAAAAATTAAAAGAACAGTGCATAGAATGATAAAGAAAACAGAAAAATGAATCACCCTCCAGTCACTGCCCGACACTTCACCTTGCTTGTGCTGGGGACAAGCCTGCGGGGCAGGCCAGATGGGGTCACCGTCTGTGGACGGGACCGACTCGGAGCGAGTGCTCAGGGCTCAGACAAGCACACTGAGCCGCCCACCAGGCAAGATTCACTGCAAAGGAAAACACCTGAGTTCTAGTCAAACTCAAATTCTGGGTTCACTGCTTTTAAGTGGATTTGTCACTTGCCACCTGTGGCTTGAGTTTCCAATTCTGGAAAATGAAGCTTGTTTTCCTAGTGTTAAAAAATGATGCCAGAACTAAGTGAATAATTTCTAGAAGAGGAGGTTAATTTCACACATATATATGACACATTAAAATAGTCTGGATTCAGAAATCACTCACTTCTGGTAATCTCAGAATTTATATCTGTGCCATTAGTTGACCAGGAGAATTATGTTCACAGGCGAAATGCAAAGTTTTTCAAAAATGCTATAAAAAGAAAAACTTAATGATCACACGATGTGTGAAGAAAAACCACCTCAGGAGTACAAGCTGAATGGCAAAAGGAATTTAGCATTTCACCACAGAATTAGTCTGTGAAGCAAAAATTAAGGGCAAAGTAAGGGTGGGGGACTGAGAGACTGTGTAATCAGAGACCAAATGAATGCACAGCCTTATTCTCTCGCCAAAATAATTTGATCAGATTCTGATTTTATAAGCAAGTGAGTGATAGGTATGGAAGTCAAACAGAAACATAAATACATGAATATTTGTCAATCTTCTAGGAAGGGTTAAAAAATGAAATACGCATTAATCTTTTTTAAAAAAGTGAAAAATTGGGGGGTAACTTTTAATTCTGACAGAATTCCAAACCTACAGAAAAGTTGTAAGGATGTAAGTACAATGAAGTCCCATATACGCTTTGCCTAGATTGACGGTTTACATTTTGCTTTCATTAATCAAAAAGAAAGAGTTTTGGATTTTATATTTGAGGATGAAAATCACCAACAGAATCAAATTTGGTTGGTATGAATTATAACCAATAAGCTTTAAAAAAGAACACAACTCTGGGAGTTTTCTGCTCTAACCTCTCAGAGAAATATTCTACTGTCACTAGCTGTTAATCCCTATCTCATTTCACAGTCATATATGTCATTTACAGACTTCTTACCTCTTGACAAGTGTATTTACTGCCAGATCAGGTTAAAATACTAGGTATTCTAATAAGAGTGTAACGACAACAGCGTGAGTGCTGTTCTCATTTTGTGCATGCTAACTCTCTAAAAGAAGGCTGTGGACATTCGCTCTCCTTTACACAGAAAACTGGTCCGCAGTGTGCCCCTTCTCTGTTCCCCGTCAGACACGTAAACCAGCCTTCAAATCAGAGGAGACTCAGACAGGTGTCATCAGCAAATGATTAGACGTGGTACTCTGCTTATTAGAGAGTAATTTTTTTTAAAGTAAAAACTTCAGGTATCGTGGTTTTATTCTTAGACATTTTTCGTATCACAGTTTCTGTGAAGCATCTGGAGTTGTTTTGAGTCTGAGGAGCCATCAGTACGTGGGTTGGAGAGCATGGCTGCGCTGTGACAACGCCAGAGGTAAAGAGACACAGCAATGTGTCCCCGGATGGCAAAGGGACGCTGGCTACAGAAATGAAAATACTCCGTTACTGAGCCCCAGTGAGCTAGTGACTGAAACATGAAACAGTTAGTAAACCGGGGACTTCCACCAAGATGGAGGCATAGGTGGAAGCACTTTGCCTCCTCCCACAACCAAGTTTAAAAACAACAAAGTTTTAGCAACAAAAATGCAGCCAAAACCACAGAAAATTGAACTTCACGGAAGTCTGACAACAATGAACCCTTCAGCCAAACCGGTAAGAGGGGCAGAGCCAGCAGCAGAGCGGGGTCGGGCAGGAAAGATCCACTAGACCCAGGTGTGCCGGCAGCTGTGGGCAGATCCCAGGTGTGGAGAAGTGGGCAGACCCACTGGCGGCGCAAGGCGGTGGACTCACTGAGGACTGACCATGGTCACACATTTGTGCGCAGATAAACCAGTGAAGGAGGGAGCGGTGAGACAGACTGTGTGGGCCCCAGTGGCAGGTAGCCAGAGGGGACTGCCATTGTCCCTCTCTGACCCTGCCCCCACCTACAGCGTCACAAACCAGCAACCTGGGTGGCCCCGCCCTGGTGAACAACTGAGGCTCCGCTCCTCATACGTAACAGGCACAAACAGATCAGAACATGGCTCAAGAAGAACTTAGAGCCACAGAGCTGATAAATCTAAGCGATGAAGAAATAGCCAAACTTTCAGATGCACAGTTCAAAACACTGCTGATCAGGATGCTCACAGAACTGGTTGATTTTAGGCACAAATTAGAGGAACATATGAAGGCTAAACTAATTGAAATGAATGGAAATGCACAGGAAACCAATAGTAATGGCAAGGAAACTGGGACTCAAATCAAACGAGTGGACCAGAAAGAGGAAAAAAATGACCAAACAGAAAATAATGTAGAAACAAGAATTCAAAAAAATGAGGAGAGGCTTAGGAACCTCCAGGACATCTTTAAACGCTCCAACATCAGAATTATAGGGGTACCAGAAGGGGAAGAGGAACAGCCATGAGTGGAAAACTTATCTGAACAAATAATAAAGGAGAATTCCCCCAATCTGGCAAAGGAAATAGACTTCCAGGAAATCCAGGAAGCTCAGAGAGTCACAAAGAAGTTGGGCCCAAGAAGGAACACACCAAGGCACATCATCATTACACTGGCCAAGATTAAAATGAAGGACAGAATTCTAGAAGTAGCAAGAGATAAGGGGACAGTCACCTACAAAGGAGTTCCCACCAGACTGTCAGATGATTTCTCAAAAGAGACCTTCCAGGCAAGAAGGGGCTGGAAAGAAGTGTTCCAAGTCATGAAATCCAAAGACCTATATCCAAGACTGATCTATCCAGCAAAGCTTTCATTTAGAATGGAAGGACAGATAAAGTGCTTCTCAGATAAGATCAAATTCAAGGAGTTCATCATCACCAAGTCCTTATTATATGAAATGTTAAAGAGACTTACCTAAGAAAAAGAAGATAAAAACGATGAACAGTGAAAGGACAGCAAACTCATAGTTATTAATAACCACATCTAAAACAAAAGCAAACTAAAGGGATAGCTAGATCAGGAGCAGAAATATAGAAATGAAGATCACATGGAGGGTTAGCAACAGGGGAGTGGGAGAAGGAGAAAGGGGGAGAAGGTACATAGAATATGTAGCATAGATGGTAGGTAGAAAATAGATAGGGGGAGGGCAAGAATAGTAGGGGAGACATAGCATCTAAAGAACTTGAGACACGTGGTCATAAACTAAAGGGGGGGAACGGTGGGGGAGGGGATGTGTAGGGTGGAGGGGAATGAAGGGGGGAATAGAACAACTGTAATGGCATAATCAATAAAATATATTAAAAAAAAGAGTTAGTAAACCAATGACAAGGGGAAGGGACTTATTTGTTTGCTCTTGATGATTATAAAATTTGACTGCAAATTTTTTAAACAAGAAAACGAAGTCTCACCACAGAAATCTCCTTTAATAATATACAGAGGTAGATGATATTAGAAAAATTATGATTACAGATGAACACATCTTTGTATCCATTATTTAAGAATAATTTCTTAGAGGAAAAATGCCATTAAAAATGTTACAAGTCATGAAAAACATGTATATAAAATCTACTTTAAAAATTGGTAAAATATTCACATAAGTAATAAATAAATAAATAACCTAAGGCATTTAAAAGCAATCTATAACCTAGAAAATAGTGAAGCAGAATAAATGTGGTATGCAATTCATTTTTTAATACTTTTTATTTTTTCCAGTTTCCCACTTTGAAATGCATTACTTCTATGATCAGAAAACAAAGAAAAGAGGCATGACTACATGCATTCATTCAAAAATATTGATAAAACTTCCTTTGAGCAAAGTATGCCAAGTGCAGAAATATGACAGTAAATAAAAGAATCCTTGAGTAGTTTACACTCTAGGTATAGAGAGATAGTAAACAGCAATTACAATAGAATAAAATAAAATCTATGGCAGGGTACGCTGGAGGTGTTATGGGCTCTCTCAGAAGGGCAATTCTGACAGTGTGTGGTGGTGTGGGAGAGCAGGGAATGGGAGTTACAGGGTAAAGATGGAGGAGGTCTTGCCCTGGCTGGGTGGCTCAGTCGGTTGGAGCATCAGCCACTAGACCAAAAGGCTGTGTGTGGGCTTGATCCCTGGTCAGGGCACATGCCTAAGTTGTGGGTTCAATCCCAGTCAGGGTGCACACAGGAGGCAACTGATCAATGTTTCTCTCTCACTACAGTGTTTTTCTTTCTTCCTCCTGTCTCTCTAAGGTCAATAAACATCCTTGGGTGAGGATTAAACAAAATTTTTTAAAAGAAGATGGAGGAGGCCTTTCCCAGAAAAAGGAAACAGGGAACAGCCTCACTGGTTGCGGTGTTGTAAGGAGGAGGAGGAGTTCATCTTCGCTTACTCATTAATGAATCTTTATGTGTTAAGAATTCAGGTGATGGTGACATGACCATGAACAAAGCACAACTGTCCTCCTGGAGGACAGATACATCAAGTGTCACAACACAAACAGTGAACAAGCTGTTAAAAATGATGAAGCAGTGCAGTAGGTGACCTAGGCAACATCAAAGACTTGCCTGGCTCTATGACGTTTGAGGCGAGATCGGGCCAGCAGTACAGTCAAGGAGAAGCTGGGGCAAGGGGTAGGGTTTGGACAGAGCAGAGAAAGTGGGTACTCAGTGCTTTCCTCCCCTCATTCTCACCAGCCTTTAGCATGGACACCTTACATAAAAGGTTATTCAAGTGAAATTTCTAGAGAAATTCCCTCCCTCCCTGTCATCCATGCCACCTCCAGGTCCTTTCCTACAGAAACTGGAGTCCTAAGTAACCCGAGTGATAAGCTCCTGCTAAGCAAGCTAAAAGAGGGTGGGAGGGACGGAGGAAGGAGCGAAGAGCCTTCCTGGCTGAAGGAACAATTGTGTCTTTCTCGGGCAGGAGATAAGATTACTTTGAGACTGAAAGGAAAGGAAGAGCCAGACACTAGAGAACAGGCATAAAGCCTAATATACCAAGATCTACTTGGTATTTACCCTACGAGCAATTAAAGACCCTTGTTTTAAATGGGGAAGAGGCAAGATTAGATATGTAATTCTAAAAGATGGTTCTGGAGAAAACTGACGTGCTCTGCTTTCTGATAACATACATTATCATTTGTTTGGCATTCCTATAAAAAATAATCCCAATCTAATCAGGAAGAAACAAACCTCAGACTTAAACTGTAAGATGCCGTATAACACAATTGGCCTGCACTCTTAAAATGACAAGGTCATAACAGACAGACCATGAAACTCTTTCAGATTAAAGGAGACTAAAGACATGATAACTAAATGCAACATGATCTGGATTAGATCCTTGACCTGTGTTGCTCTTTTTCTTTTTCACTATAAAAGACATTACAGTAAAATATGAATTGGTGTAACTTGGGAAACACAGTGTATAAAGTTTAGATACTTGTACAATATCAATGTAAGTTTCCTGATTTTGATTACTGTACTGAGATTAGGTAGAGAATGTTTTTAGAAAATAGGTACTCAAGTTTGGCTGGTAAAGGAGCATCATGTCTGTATCTTTCAAATGGGTCAGAAAAAATTACATGCATACACGTAAAGAGAACCTGACAAAGCAAGTGTAATAAAACGTTAACAACGGATAAGGATTACCGGGAGTTGTCTGTCCTATTCTTGCAAATCTTCTGTAAATCTGAAATAAAAGTCCCACAAGAGGATGACTTTGGATTCAGGCAGGAACAAGATCAGAATTGAAGTCAGTGGCGGGGAGGCTTTAGCAATGATGCCCATAGACCAGGATAGTGAGGACAGCAGCACTGAAGAGATCTGACGGACACTAGAGCTCTTCGGACAGTAGAATGACAAGGCTTAATGACAGACTCCATATGCGGAGAGGAAGAGGAAGTTAACTCCCAGTGTTTTGACTTTGATAATGGGATGCCGTTCACTAAGATAAGGCGCTGTGGGGGAAAACAGGTCTGGGAGTGCCTGCTCTCCTCTTCTGGACCAAGTCTAACAATGAACTTGATTTGAGGTACACTGAGTTTTGAAGTGCCTTCATCCAACAAGAGAAACTTCAGATATATGCATATTTCAAAGAGAGAAACCTGGAGCTCAGAAGAGAATTGTTAACTAAAGACACACATTTGTACGTTATTGTTTGAATAGTTCATGGAAGCCCTGAGCATTTATTAAATTCCTGTGTGGAGACTCTGATAGCCAAGCACTGGATAGTAAAGAAATCTGGAATGTGATGGCCAGTTGGAGAAAGATGAATTTCCAAAGCAGACCGAAGAGGAAGTACCAGAGATGTAAAAGGAAAACCAGGAATGCACAATCACAGAGGAGAATGTGCACCAGAGCTAATGACATGAAAGCCACCGGTGCCTTCAGGGAGAGGGGCTCTGGGGGGTGGTGGGGGGAAAACACAGATCGGGGATGCTGAGGTATGGTAGAGTTGAAAGAAGGTGAAATTTTTTTCTTAAATTTTAAGTTAGAAATGACTAAGCATAATTAAATGGGAAAAAATCAGTTAAGATGGAAGGGCTCAAGGTAAAGGAAAGATTACAATTAATAGCAAGATGACTGAGAAGGCAAGAAGGGTTCGAATCCAAGGAAGAAAGAGGATTCATTCCTATGACAAATATTTACTGAGAAGCTACGACATGTTGAAAACTGTTTTAGGCACAGAGGGTGTTGTGCCTAAAGAGAACAGACAAAATCTCTGCCCTTATAAAACTTACCCTCTAGAGAAGGAGGATAATGTATAAACCAATATGTATATATAATACAATCATAAGCACTCTGACAAAAAAAAAGCAGGATGAGAGAATAGGGGGAAACTGGGGATACTATTTTTAGCCAAGTATATCTTGAAGGTTTCTGAACAGGGCAAAGGAAGACACCTTTTGAAAGAAACTACGGGCTGCCAATTACCCCACTAGTACAACCTCCCCCTGAGAGGAAACCAACCACAAAGGCTAGACAGAATACAAGTGGGTTCTAATGCCGAGCCACGGCTGTGAGAATCACAAGAATTGGGGAATCAGGTAAAGACAAGAATAAACAAACAGAAAAGGGAAAACATGTAGCTAGGACTGGCTGTCCAGTTTAGGTTTTGAACACCTAAATAATTCATGACCCCACAGACCATGTAGGTCTCCTCGCAGTACCTTGTCTGCCCAGAAAAAGTCCAGCCATTGCTAATATAATGAGAACAACTTGCACAACATCAACGTAACCTGGCGGCCGAGGAGAGTGGACTGGAGTGCACATGTGTGACCAGTGACGGCTTCACTGTACTAGTCAGTAAGGGTGGTACACAAAGTTGAATGAGCATGTGTGGTGTGTGGCCACTGCACTCAAAATGACTCAGTGAGTGGAGAAATTAATCTGTATCAAATTCTGCATTAAGCTCCAGGGAAGGTATTTGGAGGATTGAGAAGGCTGTCGCTATGGGCATCCAGTGATTAGCAGCTTCATCATGACAACGTGCCTGCTCATGCATCACATCTTATGCAGTTTTTTGGAGAAACATCAAATCACCCAGGTAACTCAGCCCCACTATGGCCCAGATTTGGTGCCCTGCAACTTCTGGCTTTTCCCAAAACTGAAATCACCTTTGAAAGGGAAGAGATTTCAGGCAGTCCATGGGATTCAAGAAAATACGATGGGGCAGCTGATGGCAATTGGGAGAACTGTATGAGGTCCCGAGATGCCTACTTTGAAGGGGACTGAGGTGTCACTGTCCTATGTACATGGTTTCTTGTATCTTCTTTAATAAATGCCTCAATTTCTCATTGTGCATGGCTGGATACTTTCTGGACAGACCTCATATAGCTGTTTTCTTAACGCGAGTATGAAATCTTCAACTGTGTAATTCTTTTTCTCTCAAAGACTATAAGCTCCATGAGGAAAGGACAGTTGTCTTGTTCAGATCTATATCCCCTTGTTTGACACAGTGCAGATTCTCAGTAAACACCAAATGAAGAAACATTTTAGTTTGGCAGGGGAAGGGCTGAGACAATGATTTCAGGCTACTTTAATAATAAATAACCTGTTAGTCATTTCTGTTGAGAAATATATGACGCAATGCCTAAACCAATTCTCTCTCTCTCTATATATATATATATAAAATTATGTATACACATATTATATATGTATTCTTTTGGATAACATCTGTGTGTGCATGGTAAAAGAATTTCTAAGTACTGGGTGTGATGATAACTGAATTTTACAAGCTTTGCATAAAATGTGAGTTGCAATTATTTCTGACCTTGTTCCTACCACCTAATTGTATCCCTTAGCTCGGGAAAAAAAAATCAATGGCTGATTTTTATTTTTACTTTTTCTCCATGGTTCACAGGGTTACCATCATGAATAATCATTGCACACAGCGATGTCTTCAGGAGTCGATGAGACGCATTAGATGGTTTACTGGGCCTGCTATATGCCATATGCTTTTGAGCTTTAAATTTGCTTTAGACTGCTTTCTGTCTCCCCTCTTGTAGGTTGCATCACTTTTGCTACTGGGACTACAGTTGCTTCTAAAAGTTACCACTTCTTTTATAAATGCTGCTTCTAAGTAACAGCAAGCTTCCTAGACAAAGTCTTAGAGGAGTAAACAGTGCTGACTATGGGCCTGGGATAATCTACCTGCTTTATGACATGGACTTTGGCTTCCTATAAGATTCTATGATATTTACAGCTGACGAGCATAAAAATAATGCATAGCTACCTATCAAAAGGAACTGTCAGCTTCTATGATATCAAATCCCTGCAAAGGCAGTGAAATGATTTTAAAATTCAATTCTTGGGCTCATCAGTTGACCATTTATCAGCTCTTATATGAATTAGCAGGAAAGATGAAATATACATGACCTCACTTGCACTGAGCAATTGCAGGAACATTTTACAGAAGCTCAGAAGTTATAATAAAGAAGTCAATCAATAATTCAATACAACACTTTCCATCAACCCAGCCAAAGGAAATTATTTTGATGATGAACATTTTTTTAAGGGAACAAAGTAAACTTAGGACAACACACAAGGTACTAGTAACCTTTGTAGAAATGGATACCATTTTTAAACAAACTAAAGCTCCTTTGGTCTCAGATGCACCAGCACATACCTTTGAACAAGAGGCAAAGGAAGGAAATTGAGGGTAGAAGTCATGTCCAGTCCACAGTCCAACATGATGGTGGTTGACTTGAATTTGAGTACATTGCAGGGTAAGGTTGGATGCCCTGACAGGCAATACTGAAAAGAAAAATCATAACACTTTTATCAATAATCAATTACCAAAAAGCCTAAAAAGTACAATAAGTTAAGTACAACCTGTCACCTTCTCTCCAAAGAACAGTGCGTAAGTTCTGGTAACTTTCCATGCGGCTTCCTCCCTTTCACAGCTCTGACTCCCACCTCCTCTAGCAGTTCAAAATCCTCAAAAGTCTCAGCTCATACCCTGGTTTTTATAGGGTACCAAGTTACATCTCGAGCATGCACAGTTTTGGAGGGACTGTAATTATTTGAAATAGAAAGTTTCCAGGCTATAGTTACTCCATCCTCCCATGACACTTCCAAAATCCCACTATTTCTCTGCCCCCAAGTGCCACCTAAGGCTGCAGAAGTCGATTAAATGCTAAACCAGATCCTCTAAGTGTGCTATAGGTTTGCTTTTCTCCTCCTTTAAATAAATCATGACTTTCCTCAAAGAGGAAATGACTGGGAAGGGTTAACAAAAAAGCATCAGTCCTGAAGAATAGCTCAGCCTCTTCAGAAAAATGACTTAAAGGACCAGGGACTTCCCTGATGTGCAGATACTAAGAAGGAGAGAGGGACCACCTACTCCCAACCAATCAAGAGTCTCTTGTCTGTGGCAGCAGACCTCAGAAGTCAAAGGGGCACAGGCCCCAGTGGAGTGTTCAGAGGAGAGTGATGAGGCAAGACAAACACACTGACCTCAAACATTTCTCATGTCCTCCTCAGTGGTGTGGGGATGACAGATAGGCCACACTGAAAATTATTTATGTGGGATGTACCCTATGCCACCTTTCATAATTTGATTGCTGCTTGAAGAAAAGAAAGAAGAGGGGAAAGACCTTTCCCCTACTTTGAAAGTCATTACATACAGCAAAGCCTGGAAAATGGAGGAACCACCGCTCTCAACCCTGGACAGGCACATTCTTCCTCTCTGGCTGAAGTACGAGCCCAGCGCAGGTCAGAGCACTGTGGCACTGACGCCTGGCCCCGCAAGGCCATGGCAGCTCCAGCTACGTCTTCCCAGGTATTTGTTGCTCTGTTGGTTCTGTGACAGAATAAATGCCCCACTTTTCTCCAAAGGACATTAAAGGGACTGATGATTTTTTAAAACCACATGTTCTAAAAAGGATAAGGCCAAGATCTAAGAAACTGGGTATTTTGCAAGCTCCTTTATTGCAAGTTTATGTATGACGATATTTTCCAAACCAAAATTCACAACTCACGGTGTGAAAGAGTACAAAGTTACTAATAATGAAAACAATACAATTATTTAAGATTGTAATTGTCCTTAAAGAGTCTAGGAAGTATGATTATGGTAACTGTACTTCGCATAAGTTCTTTCTTTGACAGGTTATCAGAATTATAGAAAACACTTCCCTACTAATTCCTCCCCATCCCCCCTGTGGTTCCCCATCACTAGCTTGGTCTTATCCCCATCTAAGAATTTTGTCTTAAAGATAAATGATCTCAAAATGAACATAAAACATCACCTTAAACTGGGTCAAACTAAACAAATATTCTAATAGGAGCTTTCCTATATTTCTCCTTTAAAAAATCAGATATTCAGAAAAACCTAAAAAGAAATAAAGTGAAATGCATATAATGGTCATCACTGACCACAAAGATATGGTGTATCTTTTCTTCTTTCTGCTTTCTGTATTTTCCAAATGTTCCACAGGAAGCATTTACTACATTTGTATAATTAGAAAAATATGATTAAAACAAACCTGAAATTCTAGCCAGCCACATTGAATGACCAAATTTTTCTTAGCATTTTAACTCTAAACTATGGATAGTAAGTTACGCCAGAAGACAGGAGACTGACGTGTAAAAGCTGCTGCTGAAAAGATTAGAGGCAAAAGAATGCAGGTGACAGACTGCCTTTGCTCCTGTCACACGAGGATAAAAAGAGATGAGGGACGTTTTATAAGGGCTATAACCGAACGGAAGAGTTCGGTTATTTTCAGAGTGTTCACTAAAAGAGTGCCAGGCCTCGATCTCGCTAGTTCCATTTTTATGGGTGAGGAAATTGAGCTTTACACAGTTTAGTGGTTTGTCTGAAAAGAGCCAAAAACACACAGCAAGGCCCCTGACTCTAAAAATGCCATGATGTTTCCCAAATTCCACCCTTCCCTTCGTGGGTCAAGCAAGTCCCCTGAGCACACGGTGACTGGCCCAGGTTCCACAGCCGGTGAAGGAGGCACCTCCAAGGGTCCCGGAGTTCGCCCGTCTCCAGAGATGCTCTCTGCATGCTTCCACTGTGTTACCTGCAATCACCATGAGACTAATGCACAAATGCGTGAACCAATCACGGGTTTTAATTTTAAAGTCAGAAATAAATCTGTACCACAAAAAGTTTGAAAAACAGCAGAAAGAAAAAACAGTACCCACAATCACTTTCTATTCAGTCTTTTTTTTTGTATTTGTAAAAGCTGTGATGTTGATGCATACACTGCTCTGCACGCAGCTCTTAACACTCATGACAACTATGATTCCTTCGTCCTTGCTGCCCTACGCCTCACGTCTCCTAGCTGTCTCATTCCTCTACTGTTGAACATTTAGGGTGCCACTCACTCTATTACAAACACAGCGTGGTGATCACTTTTATGTTTAAGGTTTTTTCCGCATTGAACTATTTATTTAGAGGATTCCCAGAAGTGGCATTAACTAGGTCAAAAAATATGAGCATTTTATGGCTCTTGAAATATGTGCCAAAATGCTTTCCAAAAAGGGCTCTGCCTATTTACAATGTCATCAGTAATATATCAGATGATCTGTTTCACTGCTTATTCCCATCAGCATTATGGTCAAAGCCATCTAGAATCTATACCAAAATGTAGCTGTAATGTTAGCAGTAGCTGTCTAGAAGCAATTAAAAGCCCTCAACAGGAAAGTCACCTACTTGATAAATGGCTTTAACTGTGAGAGGCAGTCTGGAGAAACGATCAAAGGCAGAGTCTGAGGCAAGACTGCCTGTGCTCAAATTCTGGTTGCGCTCATTATCAACATGTGATTTTGGGAAAGTTACTTAGCTTCTCAAAGATACAGTTTTCTCATATGCAAGATGTAGTAATAGAAGCCACCCTCCGAAAAGTGTCAGGACTAAATGAATGGATATAGCTCCTGAAACAGGGTATGAGCTCACTATTAGTTTCCATAGTTAGAGAATTATTAAGGTGTTGAAGAGGCCACCTAAATTTGGGGGAGGTAATTTACAGCATTTTAAGCAATTCTATTCTAGAGTGGCATTCATTAATGTCTTAGATCAGGGGTGTCAAACTCATTTTCACTGGGGTCCACATCAGCCTTGCAGCTGCCTTCAATGGGCTGAATATAACTTTAGGACTGTGTAAATGTAACTACTCCTTAACGAGGGGCAAGGAGCTCGGCGCTGCCGCCAGGTAGAAACAAGGTGCCGGGCCGGATAAAACAAGGTGGTTGGTTAGACTTGGCTCATGGGCCTTGTGTTTGCCACCTCTGTCTTAGACAGTTGTCTATCCCACAAGACTAGGTGAAGCAAATGCACAATTTTACAAACACTGTCTGTTACTAGTTTGTCCTCCAGGAAGATCAAGTCACTACTGAGGACAGAGGGAATATTCTAGCCAACATAAGGTTTTACAATTTTAATTTTTTTCTAGCTTAACAAGCACATAGCAATGCTTTCATGTTAATTTTATTTCTATTTAATAATAGAGTTAAAATGAATCAGAGAGTTTTTATAAGATAGAATAAATCTCACAGCCCCAGTATGAGACAACTACTTTTTTAAATATTATTTTTACAACCCCAGTCTAATCATGAGAAAAACTTGGGGACCACTCTACAAAACACCTCCTCCTCGAGCTGTGGAGGTCATCAAGTTTCTCAAGGAAAACTTGAGAAACTGTCATAACCAGAAGGAACCTACAAAGATATGACAAGTAAATGTAAATTGATAATCTGGATGGGATTTTGGAACAAAAAAAAGGGAGAGGCGTGAAAAAGGGGGAGGGGCGAAACATCGATGCGCAACAGGGGTGTCCATCGGTAGCCTCCTGCACTCCCCCAACCAGGCCCCTGGCCCACGGCCTAGACGTGTGTCCCCAGTGGAAATCAAACTGGTGACCCTCTGGTTTGCGGGATGGTGCCCAGCCCCTGAGCCACACCGGTCAGGGCAAACTATATAACAATTCAAGCCATTAATCGATGATCACTATCTTGAACTTTCTAAGGGAATAATAAGTTAAATACCAAAGGGAAAATATTATTTTTATTGAATTTATTGGGGTTATATGGATTAATACAATTATATTGGGTAGCAAATGTACAATTCTATAACACATCGTCTGTATATTGTGCTGTGTGCTCACCACCCCAAGTCAAGTCTCCCTCCATCACCATTTATCCTCTACTTTCTCCTGCCACCTACACCTCCCTTTCCTCTGGCAATCACCATACTGTTGTTGTCTGTGTCCATGAGGAATTTCTTTTTCTTAAAGAGGCAACTACTTTGAACTCTTCTAGTTACCTCTGTATTTCTCAATAATATAGTTTACTGTTATATCTTGGGTTTTCGCTATTATTTATTTATTGATTTTTTTCCTACTATGGAAGCTGTCCAAAAGCTGATGACACTTTTGCTGTGTTTTGTCATCAAGATACGTACAAAAGGTTTCCTATCCCATTCAGATTAGTGCACATGAAGGTGACTGCCAGGTCCCTTGGATTAGATGAAAGGAACCTCAAAGTTAAGAGAAGTCAGTGTAACTTCTTAACGTCCTGATTATTACCACCATTAAGCACTATGTCATGGTTTAATTCTCAGTGTTGGTTTTACTCAGTGCTTTGTAAATGAAAGAAACATGTGTCTTAGGAGTACTGTATAGTCAATGAATCATTTTACTCTACGTTTTATAGTTAATGATTATTTACCAACACTTTAAACATTTTGCTTGCTCACCAAACCTTCTTTAATCTCATTTCTTCTTCCTTTAGTAACCACCTATTCAAAAGGT